ATATTAAATTCCTAAACATTCTAGATATTATTGTGCAAGAAGGAAACTAAATATCGAAAGTCCTAAATTGACTAGATCTTGATTTTGCTTGGCTTGCACTCCAAACAAATCCCATCCACACGCCCATCATATTTCGGCCGCCTCATTCGCGCGCCGCCCTTCCGCACGCCTAATCCTCGTTGCGCGGGACTCGCGCGCCGTGTCTCGCACGCCATCGTGCGCCGACCCCGTCTTGCCTAATCCTTCGGCCATTAGGCTTCGCGCGCTCGTACCCCACGCGTCACCATTCGCGCGCCCTTCGCCCGTGCGACCTGCTTCTCGCGCGTGTGCGTCTGCCATGCCTTCTCCTACGACCGGACAGATTAGGCCTCCGCCCGCGTCCGCACTCCACTCGCGCGCCAATGCGCGTGGCTCCTCATCGCTGCCCAGACCCCGCGCGTCCCAGCCACCCTCACGGTTGCTGTCCACGCTCGATGCTCCCGCACCCCTCTCGCGCTCGCCTGCCCGTTCGTGCGTACTATCGATCGCCTGCGGGCTCTGATCGCCTCCCGCGCATCCTTGTGTGCCCGCTGCGTCGCACGCATCTCCACTGCCGGCGGACTGCTCACCCGCGCGCCAACCGCGCCCCTGCGTTACGTCGCCGAACGCCAATGCGTCCCAGTCGACGTCCGCGACTCGCCCGCCCATCGAACTCCCGCACACATCATCCTGTTCCGTCCAACCACGCGCATCATGGTCCGATGCGTGCCATTCGCCCATTGGCCGATCGCCATCGCCCTTCTCGTCGGCGATCGTCGTCGTTGGTTCGGGCCATGGATCCCAACCTTTCAACCTCTCACAATCGTCCGCCGGTATCCACCACCCTTTATCAACCCATCGTAAACCACGCCTCTGGGCCTCCTTCTTTTGTGCTCGACTTTTCTTTGCACAAGGCTCACAACATTGACTCGCCTTTCGAGCCTTCGCTTTGCGTCGTCTTTTAGTCCGGCGCTTCTTGATCTTTAACTTAGCCCGTGGCCCACATCCTTCCGGCCAGTCTCGTACGCATGATGGTCGATAAATCGGACTAGATGGCTCCTCTAACATGTTCTCCAACCAAATATCGAGCCCATCATCCTCTTCCTCGTCAGACTCGCCGGGGTTGATGACCACTTCCGTATCATTCCCCTCC